TATTGTGACAGTCGGTATCTATAATAATACACAAATATACAATATAGTTAATATAATATGTCATAGGAGGTCTACGGTGGTACTACTTAAAATGGTGATGTCATTAATGTAGACGCCACAGTCTTTGTGAAACTGATCATTCACTAAGTTTTCCTCGTCCAGAATAACAGTAAAACTCAAAATAGATTTCATTTGGTTTATTTTACAAAGTTACTATAATCAGAAGTCTGGACAGTACGCTCTAGTAGAATTGACAAAAAAGGACAATAACAAGGTGTAGCGGTATTATTACCAGAACATTAATATTCTGGCGAATAATATTATTTCCAATCCATTTAGTGTGGGTATTAAATTATTTTAATGACAATATTACGTCATAATTATTGGCCAAAGACTTAACAATTAATGATATATAAACTAATTTCAAACCAATTAAACGCAACAAATATTTCAAATATAGATAATTACATTTTTAACATTCTATCATTTCATTCATTTTCATTCCTCCGCCACCATATACATATAGTTGATATAAAATATATACAAATAATTTTAATGAATAAGATTTATATCTCGGTACCACGTTATGTAACATTTCTTTCACTGTCAGTTGCAAACACCTGACGCGAATGTCAGCTTATATAAAACTCATCTGCTTGCGCGTTTCATTGAACACTTAAAATAAATAAGTAATAATAAAATAGAACTGAATCATTCATTTGTGCATTGACGATGATGTAGTTATTTCACAAATGCACCCGCTTTGACTGTCTCGTTGATCAAGAGGCCGAAAACACGACCGCTGAAATACACCGCTCGGCTTGGATTCCCTAGATAGGAACAATAGTATCTAGGTTTTTAGAAAGTTGGCAGCAAAAACACGCATTACTCGGTGAGCAATTTGGAATAAGGACAGAAAACGATGGCAAATGATAGTTTTGGTATTGCATTATTTTATTTACATGCTTTTTCAGCAGGTACACACGGCCACACATCAATCTATACAAAACCAGTTTATCCTGGTGTCGCGTCGCATTATCTTTCCGCACATTTAACGTTCAGTTTATACTGGTTATGAAAAGCTCGATGCGTAGCCATGTGTACTAAGATTTAAAAAAAAATCTTAAGTACAACGCGAATCACTTTGATAATAATTGTCAATGAAATCTTACTATCTAGGTTCCAAGCAAATAAGAGCATCAACAGAACACGTAGAAAACGATGTCACGGCCATAATATGTTGCTCGATATATAAAAACAATACTTTGACACATCGCTGTTTACTTTCCATCAATAAGAGACTGACCGTTAATCAGCATTCATAAACTCACAGTAAAACTGCACCGCTCGCGGTCACAAACCACTCCAGTTTCCCCCACCCTCTCCTAGATGGCGCTGGCAGTACAATCTTAATTCAAAGCGATCATCACGCAAGTTTGCGCCAGTAATTAAGTTACAGTTTTGGCGCAAAGTCCGTCAGAACCGTGTCTGACACGGACTTATACTTTTTCAAGTCCATTTTTTCTAACTTGATGAACATCGAACACTGAGAAATGTACCGACTAATTGAGATACGAAGTACGAAAACGACATTCAAACAAAATTAGTATTTATTTGGATAAGCAAAAAAATCCTTGTAATTTAAGATTAGTACCTACATCGGTATCACCTGGTAGGACTCTTATTTTTTTATACAATTCGAAATCTAAAACGTTTAATAACCTCTATAAATCTCTTCAATAACAGTATATTAGTGTATGGAAATCCAAAAATAGACAAATATGATTCTTAAATTATTCTATAATTAGACAAATATGATTCTTAAATTGGCAACGAAGTCATGGTAGTCATATAAGGAGCAGAATCTATATTGCAGTTTTAAATGACCTGCCGCACGTTCATCAAACATCTCATATACTACATTTTTAAACACTGAATGATTTCAATAACAATAATAATAATCAGCTAAAATCAAAGTTAATTCACGAAATTTGATGTCCTATAATTTACAAGCATTACGTTAATTATCTGTCATTTTTTTTGCGAAAACCTCAGAAGATTGATTACAAAACGTTTTGTTGTGTTTTTTTTCTAAGTTGGCCCATCGTTATAGATTAAACGACTCTTTTTTTAATCATGCGCATCGCATCACTAAATCACTGGATCGTGAAAACTATACATTTGAATTTTTTGCGCAAATGTACGCGGTTGTCAAACTTTTTTTAATAAGTATGGGGTTACGTATATACGATTCACAAATTAAATGCACAGTCTTGAAAATAGATTATTAATATAAAGTTAGAAATAAAATAAATTACATTTTGTTCTTTTGTTATCATAAACTTTTAATATTGACACCCACTCTAGAAGGGTTAACCATTTTTTTCAGAGAATCGGACGTTTATTTTACTTTCCTTGATGATTGATATCTGGGGTGAACTTCGATTAACAAACTTCAGAATAAATATACTTGTGTAACTATATTTGTGTGAGTATCTTCTAAAGAGATATATTTAGAATTACTACGAAACTCCACCTAACGTACATAACAATAATGATATTGTAATATTATCCTTGACATATGAAGCGTTTGTTTATCTCCTCCATTTATTTGCTTAAAAACCCTAAGGCGCTTACTCCCAGGACGACTCTAATAATAATTATCGCTAAACACAACTTTGCCTGTTTATAAACAGAAGTCATATTCGATAGTAATACATGGTTAAAAATGGTAGAAATGACAATGCCAAATCCTGACCCAGTCATATTATCATTTACAAAAAAAGTAAATTGATGAAAACAATTTTGACGAATAAAGAACCTTTCATAATAAATCTTTTTATTTTTAAACTTGCGGTTTACAATTTAACTCGTCGATTACCGGTTTTGTAGACACAATTATAGAACAATAGGTTGCGGTCACCGGTGACCGCTTGGTGTTTGACAGTTTAATAAAAAAAGAAGTTCAATCCCGGAAATACTTTTTTGCAATGCGTCTTCCATATTGTCTAATGACTATTTGTGTTACATCATACGCATCGCTTGTACGGAACTATGAAAATAAAAAAGTAAGTAACTGTAAAAAAGATATGATTATACATAAAATATTATATCAAAAGTATAATTATGTATAACATTTATTTATTTATTAATAGTTACAGATGAAATCACGAAAATATAAAAGAAACGATTACTATCATTTGTTATGATTATTTCGTGTAACGAAACGTTTTGAAGCGCTCGTCAGCTGTCAGCTGTCAGTGTCAATATTATCGTTCATTCGCTCTCTGCGTTTCCGTTGTTTTCGCGATAGTTATCATTATTGTTTTGTGTTTTAAACAAAAACCGCAAGTTTTTACAGGTTTCAGGACAAATGTTTAGGTATCGGTAATTAATACACTACACGATGCTGAATACTGCATACTTGTACATGACTTCTAATATAGTGAGTCAAAGATGTACTGAGCACCTGGCATTGTACTTTCTGAGAATTCATATATAAAATTCTTTTACTATACCCATACCCCCTATTTTCTATCTTAGCTAAGTTATTTCTCCACCACTGAGCACTTATAACATACAGAAACCAGCAATATGGTTAAACTATGGTTAACTGAACTGAACTGAAATATGGTTAAAATATGGTTAACTGAAATATAGTATAGCTACTATAATGAAAATTTATATTAATACTTTCGAGATACATACTAAATTAAATTAATACTACATACTAAAAAATAATTATTATGTTCTCACCATACTCACGTAATTATTTGACGAAGAACTCGACTAGTTTCAAGCCACGCTAGAGGCTCATATTCATGAACAGCATTCCGCGACACGAGACGCGGCAACTGTCTCACCGCTATTAGAATGGCTTGAAACTAGTCGAGTCGTACTATACTACTACTACTACTACTATACAATTACGTGAGTAAGCCGGAAACATGATTATTAATTTACCATGTAAATAGATTTAGAATGCAATGAAATTAGTGTTGCAGTCACACTATAGGTATTAATTTAACTTATACAGAAAGGCGACTATTATAATTACAGCGGATAAATGAAAACCTATGAAACAGACCTAATGTAGTTTCAAGAACAATAATTGTAAAAAAAATTGACAACCACTGGATCTTGCAAGGGTGGCGCCAGCACGCCGACAGGTTTACGCGCAGGTATTCAACGACAACACGACGCCACTGACGTAACTATATAAAAGAAGTTTTACTATCTATTGTCCAAATAATTTACCCATTATATAAAGCAAATATCGAAACTACAACTGGGCATGATCTTCATAATACTCCTGTATGCAAATTTAATAATATTTGCAATTTACTTTACGTATTTTAAATAGGATCGAAATCAAATCCCAATGCGACCTATGTAGAAAATGCTAGTTTTAATCGTTTAACTTCTTAAAACTAATAGTTTCGTAGATAACTTCGTTCCAGTCGACAAACAAAGTCTTCAGCTCGATAAGATAACGCAACTTTATTTAAATACACCATGTATAAAGTTTGTGAGCTTTTGGAAATTCTTAAGGCTCTTAACTTAGTAATTATATAATTAATTTAAAAAATATTTTCTCTGATATTACTAAAGAATTTTGTAGCCTGAATAACAACTTAAAATGAACCTTATCATAAACCAAAGATTCGTGCAAAGGTTACTAGATGGCGCTAGGGTCGCTGTTTGGCGAGTTGTTACAGTTCGGATTGAGCCGAGTAGGTGGTTAAATAAACAAACGAATAAGTAGGTAATAATTGTATTTAAATTAATTATTGTTTTATCATAACACAAGATGAGAAAATTCTGTAATTGTAAAGATTTAAGTTTTATAAGTACTTATTAAGTATTATTTTTTAAGCTTTACATGTATGTAAGTATGAATTGATGAAAGTTCCAAAACAACATGTTTTTAAACAAATCGTTACAACGTCCTTAAGATAATTTTTAATAATTATAAATGTTATGATGCTTAATTTTGTTACTTTTCAATTTGTAACCCTTTTTTCCTTTAGTTGTTTTGGGGAACTTTCTTTCTCTCTCCGGCTTCTCGGGTATGTGGCGATCAGATAACTTAAACGTCTTACAAAGTAGTGTCACCTTAGCCCCACCAGACAGATTCTCATCTAGCGACTTTATTGTGTTCGTCAAAAGGTACTTTGTCGCAAAATGGTTACTGTACTTATTCGAGAAATAATTTTTCTTCACTACATTATCATTTTCTTTAATTGATTCCAACCTCTCTGTTGGCGACTCAATCTTTTTATTATCTTCATAGTCTGAGGTAGCACTGTTTGTATAATTACAAACAACATCAACTCTAATTACTTGAACTGTCTCGGGACTTTGAGCCCGAGATATCGTGAGACTTTTCCTTTTTCCACTTTTTTGATAAGTAATTTTCGTATTTTCTATAGTTTCGGCGACGTCTTTAATTTCGTCTGTAACTTGTCTTTTAGAATATTTTCTTACGTTATTCTTAAATTTAGATTCGGCTTTTCGGGGTTTTTTCGTGTCGTTCAAGGATGTTTCAACTTGTGTTACTTTATTTTGTATCTCTTTGTCTTTGTTGTAGCCTTTTAGGAATGTACTGGAAATGCTGGAGGCGGGTCTTGATCGATCGGTGCTGTATATGTATTTTAAGTATTCATCGAAGTAATAATAAGTGAGTTGTGATGACCTATCATCATCGCTGAAATCATGGTCGCTAACTGGTTGTTTGACAAACATTCTGTGTTTGTTTACGTCTGTGTTCTTCTTATATTTGAAACTAGTTCTTGGTCGTATAGTTTGATCGACATCGCCTTGAAACTTCAAAGTTTGTACTGTTAAAACCATGTCCTCATTTTCTTGGGGAACTCGTACGCTGTCGATTACGTCACCATATTCCTCATTTTTCATATTGACGTGGAACCTGAGACAAAATGTAATTGGTAAATACCAAGTCCAATGTAGTTCTTTAGGCCTTAATGACGAGACATGCTAACACAACCGATGGAGATTGGGATATCGTAATTTACCGAAAGCAAGACACATACTTTAAGTAACAATAACGATTAATTTTATTCCATAGCTTACTAACTTGTCTGCTATTCTACATCTACACCTATCAGCCAGAATACTTATTTGGTTAGGCATACCTGTCAAAAATATCTATCCATCTGGGATCTTCTTCATGGTTAGGGTTCACCAATTTCCTCTGGCAGTAACGTCTAGGCTTCTCTGGAGTTGAGGTACCATCTCTTTTGAGCTTCCCTTTAACTCGTTGTTGTAAATGAAGCTTCGCACACTTCATTTTTCTTCGCTGTAACAATAAGTAAAGGTACCTATATTTTTAAACCGATGCAGTTCACAAATCTTTCTGATAATATAATCAGTGACTCCAACGCAAATCATCAATAATAACTTATTCAAGGCTACAGGCGTCAATGACTCATGTCAAAGTAAAGGTCATCTGTATTTTAGTTCGACACAAGTATCAAGCGCAGATCTTGTGTCTTATACAGGCATAACACATAATATAACATCACGCCTTTTATCCCTGAAGGGGTAGGCAGAGTTGCACATTACGGCACTTAATGCCACAGTACAATGTAACACCCACTTTTCACTATTTATCTTATGAGTCCCATGTAATAGGGGATTAGCCTATTGCCATATACCAAGCATAATTCCAGACTCCGTGCTACTACTAGTTAGGTTTTTTTTTAAGCTTGATAACCCTAAAAACGGCATTGAACTGTCAAACAACGCGAGGACACCGGTGACCGCAACCTATTGTTCTATAATTGTGTCTATAATGACGGTACTCGACGAGTTAAAGTACTGACTAAACCAACCAAGCAAATCGTTGTTAGTATTAAGATTAAGGATTGAATATCTACTATTAATTCCTGCAGGCATGTCTTCAAATAATAACTTACAATATTAACCTGCACAATAACCCACTGAATCTTAAATTAACTGACAACAAAGATAACAAACTGAAAGGTTCAACACACCAAAGTTGGGTTAACTGCAGTTCACAGGTAACTCAAGGTCAAATCAAACATTTTGAATTAATTTTGCTTTCGTGATTGCGTATATAGGGGAAGACATTTTATTGTGTTTATGAAATTTGGTGGTTGAGTACTGTTTATAATATTTTGAAGTATCGCCATATTTCAAGGTCAAACATGGAACGAAAGCGCTACAGAGGTATACCGTGTTCTTTATTGGCTACTGTATTTGCTAACCATGTGATTCGTATGTATGCGACATTATATTTTCGTTGAACTATTTCGTCTGTCGATGGTATTCGAAATGTTTCGATGGTAATGTCGGTAGTTTTGTTCTATTTTTGGGTTTAGATTCAGTTGTATGTTTGTTTGTGAGTATGAACTTTGTGCTATAGTGACTGATGTACTGAGTGTTAGTCAGTTGTTTTTAACTGACTGAAAAGGAGGTTTGGTAGTTTCATCGAATACTTTTTCGTAATCATCATCATCATTATTGGCACCCTGAAGTTACTATCGAACTAACTGTTCACAAGCACTTTCAAATGATTATAACATTTTAAAATGCTTGTGTTAATTATCTGCTTCCAAAAACTCTCTACGTCACACTAATCACAAAATACAGTAAATAATAAATATTCTTAACAATTTTAAGAAGTGTATTGTCTAAAAATAAATTAAGTGTTAAGCTCAAATTGGCAATTGTACCGTCAGAAGAGACTTCGCGGGACGTTTTGTCATTCTTTCGTAAGACTATTGTCTAACATCTATTCATTTTGAAAGCAATTATGTTGAAGATGTTCCTCTATACCCGTCCTTTTCACACCCATGCATTTTAAATAACAAATTTGAGCGAGACAGATGCTATACAGAGTTTTTTTTATGAAAGTATTGATAAAGGAACTACAATGTCGGCAGGATGGTGTATTTGATCTAGCAACGTAGCGGTCCACATGTTCTTGGGAATGGCTTTGCCAACGATGCAAAAAAAAGTTTCTTTCTATTTTTGTTGTGCACTCAAATAGTTTTGATATTTGACAACTTTAGCATGCGAAATTATTTTTAATAGCGATTTATAAAAACAATTATAGCGCGGCACTATGCGTGACTTCTAGGCGGCGTTATTTATGAATGCAGTGTGATGTCTGACCCAGTTCGGTTAAAAATTAACAAGTTTGCTACATCCATAAACATTAATGCGGAAAAAAGTTTTCTGAAAAAAAAAACGTCAAATGTACCATAATCGTGACTTGACAGAGTCATTACCATCGCTTTGCATAATTAGAAAACAGAATATAAACACATTTGGCCCTAACTCGTCGGATCCCATAAACTATACTTTTTAAGTCGAATGTCAACCTGTCACGCAAACGTGTACAACATAATCAGCCTTGAATGTTTTGCGTTTTGTCGTAGCGTCAATTTTTTCCACGTCGTATTGTAGGAAACGCCGCTAGAGACGTCCGACATAAAATGACAAGACGGCTATATCTGATATCGGTTACAGTTTACAATACCGATTTGAATATTTCCTTATAATGCCCAACAATTCAATGGAAACCAGTAATACAATATTTGCATATTGAAATTTTGTATCAGAGAATAAACATAGATTTGCAATAGAAACGAACAATAATGCACTGAACCCGAGTGCAACGTATCAAATTCACGACGATGCACTATTCAAGCCTCGCACACAACGCCAAAATAATAGGCACAGCACAGCTGCTAGACAAGACGCACACTAACGCACAAATCGGTGCATCGCACACGGACATCTTGGATAACAAAAAAACGCATTATTATTATCCTGGTACAAGGACACCACGAAACCACGGAAACTTCAACCCTAAACTTGAAACATTAACGATGAGATTAGGAAAGCCCTTTCTTGTGAAACGATTAACTTAGATTTCATCCAGAACCCGAATTTCGAGATGGGATTTTTGATTCTGTAGTTAGTTGAATAAAGTTTAATTTTGTGTGTGTATCTTTGTGGAATTTGAGCTTCATAATTATTGAAAAAAAAGCTACGTATCTCATAGGCGCCAAATGCACGTTGCACGGACTACGATATGAATACGATTTCTGTTGAATTTTGTGAGCAAACCCGTGCGCGTGACTGTGTCTTGCACATTAGTTATTAGTTCCAATTTTATGTTGGAATTATGCACATTGGTTGTATTTATGTGTACAAGCTTAAAATGTTGGGCACGTAAATAGGGCCACATTTTTGTCTCGCTATGTGTCCGGATCGTGCGAAGGGAACTTTATTTGTATTTTTATTTTATTTATAAACACTGAGGATTTTTATTGTTTGTTTTATATTAGCCTGTGTTTACCTTTATTTCAACCTAATGTTTTTGTTTACTGAAACAATTTAAATAGCTAATTGTCATTTATATTCTTTTTTACCACAGTTTTTTGAATTGATGTGTTAATTCTGTACATCTGTCTCTAAAGCCTGACTTGTACAATACAATTGTATTTAATTACATCTGCAACTCAAGAGGAACTCATATTTCATCTATCTTTATCATTCAGAATATTAAACTGAGAAATCGACAAAATTCAGATTTGGCTGTGACTGTTCGCAGCCAAACCCGGATGCGTTACCAGTCAACTTTGAGAATAGGCCATCTGTCCCTCGGTTGTCTTATGACATAGATAATATCACCCCAGTAATCAAACGGCGATATCAAATAAAAACTACGTTGAAATTCCAATCTTCTTGGTTAAAACCGATTACAGCTAATCGTGTTACTCTAAGATGACTTTTGAACAAAGTATAAAGTTTTGTGAAAAGCTCAGGATCTTGAACAATGGACTTGACCAAACTGTGGAGAATGTTTTGATTTAACAATACAAACTAAACCTGGTTTGTTTAGAATGAAAAATTTAAAGAAACAATGGGAGCTCGTTTGTTTGTTAGAACAATTGTTGTTTTAAACAAAAATGTACTGTTTCTGTTGAGATTTTTTTCTTCGAAGTAAGTAATAATTGCTTTGGTGCTTTTAGCACAGCGTCTGTGTCGAATGTTAGTATCATGATTTTATGGATTTACAACTACAGATTGTATTTTATGTGATTATTGTGCACTTTATTAGTGCACGTCAATTATTTTATTTCCTAAATTATTCAAACTAAAACACAAATCTCAAATTTAATTAAACCAAGAAATATAAAACTAATTGTAACACCGTCGTTTTTACACAAAACTTCATTAAAAGATTTGACATGCGTCTGATATTTTTTTACAATGTCCACGTGCACCAAAAACCTGTTTTTACCAAAATCCCGACCTTAATGTGGCACTTGCAACCTAGTAACCCCTGTCCACGTAAGGTGACCACACAATACAACCTGCCACTGGGTCAACGCATAAAAGCGGGTCAAAAATAAAATACATTTGGTTACTACCATCCGCATCTCTCGCAATTTTCATCACAATGGCTGCCTACCCCCTGGACTGAGAAGAACAATTTCAAAAGAACGACACGCCTTTTTCGTATTGTATTAACTATTTATCTTTGATTTATGGGTATATATTTCAAACTGAACGAAATGTTTAGAAATTATACGACATTGTCTAAGACAGGTGAAAAAAAAATCTTTTGCAACAGCAAACCAGCCACTTTAGTTTGTAATTGCAAAGATTTTAAAATGAAATGTAACGTTCTTTTATCGCAATACACAATAAAGCTTCCGTTTACGCCAAAAATGTAGTTTCTAAACCAGACTAATTACATTTACTAAGATAGCATTCAAAGTGATGCCTAGAATGCACTTTAAAAATGGTTCCCATACACGTAATGAAGCAGTTGTTCCGCAACGATCATTTATTGTGCCGTCGCATGCAATGTGCATCAATGATGATTATTTCTTTAGAAAATACACCGGCTTTAAGACCCCCTTGCCCTAAAATCTATCGCGAAGCAGACAAAGCCGGCTGCGCGAATATGTAGCGACGAGTAAATAAAGGGATGATATATTGTGAAGATTGATGTGATTAAAAAAACCATTTCCCTTAGTGCTGTCAAGGTGCATTCTTAGTAGTGATGTGCGAAAGGTCGATAGTTTTGATTCCCTCGTGTATGTGCATGTGCTCCATTTATTTTATGAAACGTTAGTATGCTATAATACTAGGCCATGATTTAAGTTTTAAAAAACAAATGCGAACATATAAGTCTATTTTCTTATACATGATATTAGACTACCGTATTAGATCTTCAAGTAAAATCATTATTTAATATTTATCATAATTGTTGCTTGTGTATTTTATTATCAGTTTAGCTCTGACAGAGCTTAA